GTGAGGGGAAATCCTCAGCAGCCAAGACAAACGAGAAAGCAGGGATTCTGGGAGAGAAGCGAGCCTTAGAAGCCCTGGGGTGCTGGTTGGCTACTGAGCTGGGTTTCAGTTGCCTTGACAGGAGGGCAGGAGTTGAGCACCAGGCCGCTCACACTGGGAGTTGTATGGCTGATCATATGTAAGGCCTAGACCATCCCAAGAAGCACGGTTTACTAAAGGGTGAACTAGGAAAAAAGATCCTCAAGGCAAGAAAGTAATGAAAGTCAATTTTTTTGGAAGAGGGGAAAAATAACAAATCCAAAGTAAGGATATAGTTTAAAGCTATTCTGGCATGAGAGTGACCACAAACTCCTGGCAGAAAAGCACAGCTCGTCCTGGAATGAGAAGCTGTGGTTTGAAAGAATCAGTAAACAGCCATTCCGAAAAAGGCCTCCAGAGTGCTGTGGATCAAGATACTGGACCACAAACACCTGTCCTTCATGGGTCATTCAAATAACAAGAAAGGTTTTAAAGGAAAGAAGCCACAATCATATTTCTATCTATTGACATTACTATATGCTAGGAATTCAGAGGTGACTATGGAGTTGTCTCCTCTTTCATGGACCTTACTTTCTGTTTGGGGAGACAAACTGACATAGTCGGGGAGCTTGGTGGAGGGAGGTGTTAGTCTGTTGCAGTTAGCCAGGAAAGGAGATTAAGAAAGCAGTGAAGGGTGGGTGAACTTTTTAGCTGAGGACAGAGAATTTTGTTCAGTTGGCTTTTAATTGCAGGCTCAATGAGCTGTCACCGGAGGGAATTGATCATACGGAGGATGGGCTTAGCTCAGGCCTCTTTAGAATGGGCAAGTGAACCTGGAGAAAGAGTCAAATCTGTGCAGACACTGAAGTTCACTTGGACGTGCTGTATCCCTGAGCCACAGATCGGACAAATAGGCAGCACTTCTTGAGGACAGAGGAGTGGTTTTTAAGGTTCTCCAAGAATGAACCGAGATGGCCAGTTGTCAAACTGTGACTTTGCTCTTTGGACGGTGTACCCACCAAGGGTATTGGCATTTTATGGGTTTCCATTTCTCGTTAATACATGTTAGGTGATGAGGACGTGGGCACAAGTGTTTGACACCTTGTCGAGGTGACTTTGGGTTCCTGCCTAGAAGCACGGGCACAGTTGCGGCTGCATCATACATCTTGCAGCCCATCCCTTTCCCCGGCTCCGTGATCACCGCAGAGTCGTCCCTTGTTAACCTGTCCATCTCCTCTGTGACATCATAACCCATGAAAAGACCGGAGCGTTATTAACTTGGCTTTCTTAAAGTCAAAGGAACAGATCTAACATGGAGTCAGAATTTTTTCTTTCCTATTTCAGTAGTGCCATGGAGAAGGAAGTTTGGGCAGCTTTTTGTAGGGTCCTGGAGGCTTTTTCTCTCACCCTCTGGGCGCCTGTATTGAAAACCCTTCATAGCTGTCTGGCCTGCTGGAAAACCACTCCGCCTATTTTGCCCTGAAGTTGTGTTCTGTTTATAACTCATCTCTACTCCTTGGAAAACAAATCAATAAAAACTCAGTTGGTTTTCCACCAGCCATGAGCAGGGGTGAGGGATAGCATGTTATTATTTTATAAAATAATAATAATAATTAATAATAATAATTATTATTATTAATAATTAATAATTAATATTATTATTATGTTATAATTATTATTATTATTATTAATAAAAGAGGTTTTAAAACAGCACTGGGCACAATGGAGAGAGTCAATAAATGCTTCCTGGCTTAAATTAAAAGTGATGGCTCAGTGATTCCATGGCTGCTGTATTTGCTGTGCTAGTTACTCCTTTGCTCCAACACTTTTTTTTAAACTGAAAAAGAAATAAATTCATATGGTTAAAAAAATTCAAACAGCACAAAAGTATACAAGTGAAAGAAGTTTTCCCTCATCCTCTGTACTTCCAGCCCTCCCTGGAGATGTCACTC